TCAACTGACGAAGTGACTCTCCATCCAGGGGCACTAACAGAGGCGGGCGTCGCAGCCTGATTACGCTCTAAGCTTCCCGTTCACTCAATTGACGTGTCTGACGCGACTGACTAGGATCAGTTTCTCAGCTGGGAGAGAGAGTGCCGCCCCTCGGCGTTCTCATCCGTACAACGGACCGACGGGGGAACAATTCCGGTTCCGACTGCCTAAGCCCTGGCTCCTGAACAGACCCGGGACCCCACCCCTAAACGCCCCCGAACGCCAGCACTCGGCCTTAAGCTCACCATCTCACCCGCCCTCCAGCACCAGAGCGGCAAGCCACGTCCGGTTCTGGATCCGGGCCCTTCTGGCCTTGTGCCGCGGGGCACGCTGGGAGTCGTAGTCCTTAGGCCGGCCCAGGACTACGTTACCCAAACAGGTAGGCACCGCCTTCGCCTTTGCATGTCGGGAAATGTAGTCTCCCAATGGAATTGTGTTCCTAAATCTCCGCAGGGAAGGGGACGGAGTTGGGAACCCAGACTGATTGGCACTTGTGGTTTCAATCCTGTCTAACTCGCTCCAAAAAAACCCCACCGATCTTTAAATATTCCAGAGTCCGAAAGCCAGAGGGGGATGGAGGTGGGGGTCGGAAGTCCCATCTGAAAATTGAGGCTCAGAGAGGGGCCAGGACTTGCAGGAGATCACAAGTCGAGTCAGTGGCGAAGCCGAAACCCTGATCCGGGGGTCCTACTTCCTCGTCCCGATGCCCTAATTTGTCTGTTGAGGGGACAGTGGAGACTATGTTCCTGGGGTGGAAGGAGGAGGGGTGCCCGAGCCCGCAGGGATGGGGAGGATTTCGATTGGCTGTGAGAGGGGCGCCCTCTTACCATCGCCTGGCTTCCCTGGCGACCCTTCCGGGTGTCCCCTCTTCACTGCACGGATGAGGCCGGAGTGACCCTCCCTCCCCTCACCGGCTGCCTCTGGGGTCCTGGGTGACGCGGCAGCCCAGGCAACAGCCTAGACAGTTCTTGGGACTGGCCGCTTGTTCAGGCCCCTCCCCAGGCTTGGAGGCCCTTTCCTCTGAGAGCAAAGGGAGCTTGGGCCTGATCTCCTTTCGCGTCTCCTCCAGCTCCGGCGGCGTCTGGAACGGTCTTCCCACAGCTCGCGGGGCTGGCTGCTCCTCACCCATCAGGTCTCACTGGGATGCCACCCATCCCAGGGAAGCGACCTTCGCAGCTGGGCCAGGGTTCCCTCGTCAGTGCTCCACAGCCCCAAGCATGTCTCCCTAAGGACACTTGTCCCCGCATTTTCGTTACCTGATTTACTTGCTGTTCTGGCCCACCTGACTGAGCTCCCTGAGGATAGGGTCTGTGGTCACTGCTGTGTCCTCAGTGCCTAGAATGGGGCTTGGCACAAAGGAGCTTTCAATCACCCAACATGCTTTAAGATTCTGTGATGTTTCTCAATCCTGGAATGCTAGAGTATAGCGTCCAGGGACTCCAGGCCTCCTGAGGGATTGCGTGGAGGCTCGGCCTGCTGTCTCCTCTTGGCGGGGTGGGAGATTTAGCAAGTTAAATACAGGACGCGCAGTTAAATTGGTATTTCAGATAAACAACGAATACTTATATTAAAAACCTGAAATTCCCATTTAACTGGTCGTCCTATATTTTTTCTAGCAACCTGGCCTCTCGCTGGCCCTGTGACCTTTACTTGAGCTGTTTTTCTCCTCGATCAAGTGGGGTTAACAACAGCGCTTCCCGCCGCGTGAGAGAGTGGAGGGGCAGCTCGTGGGACAGTCAGGATTCGAACCCTGGGCACTCTCACGGCACAGCCGGGGCTCTGACCACTTACTGTCACCTCCCAAATGCCCTGAGGAGTCCTCCAAATGGAAGCCGAGCCAGTGCAGGGCCCCTGCGGATGCTGAAATGGGTCCCATTTGAAGGCTCAGACCAGGTCCCTCAGGGATTTCAAACTCAGGGGCCAGAAAGGGTTGAAGGGGCAGATATGGGGCAGTAGGGAGGGGCGGGCCTGTGGTGAGGTAAGAGCAAACTTCCTGTCTCAGGGTTTTTTCCACAAAAGGCTGCCTGGGCCAGAAAGTTCATCTTCCCACCCCCATCACCCCCACCTCCCTCCAGAGGGCCCTGGCCTGGGGACTAGCCTGGGCTCCTGCTCTGGCCCCATTTCAACTGTATTGGGTATCCACTCCTGGCTTAGACACGTGCCAAGGCTACCGTCCTCCAGGGGCAAAGCCGAGTCCCCCGGGCTGCTGCTTCCCTCCATGCCTCTCCCCATCCTGTTGGGGGTGGGGACGGGGAGCTGCCCACATGGCCCTGCCCCCAGGGACCCCTCTGAGCATAAGCCTTCCTTGTCTCCCCCACCCCAGCTGGGCACACCTCACAGGTAGTGGTCCAAGGTCAGTCTCTCTCACGGGCCCTCGTTCACACAAGGCAAGGCACACGGTGGGTCCCCAACACCAGAGCCTCTTGGCGCTCCCCCCGCCAAGTCCTCACCCTTCAAGTCTCTCTCCTCATAGACCCAACCCCAGGGGACCGTGGTGAGGAGTCCCCTGTGGATTCATCCATCACCCACAATGGCTGGTGAGGTGACGAGTCCTTCCCCAGAGAGGCAACCCCTCCTTGCTAGAGCCACGTGGAGACAGGGGCGTGCCCCAATGTCCCGGGCTCCCGGAGCAGAGGAGGATCAAACATCCCCAGTGGAATTGAGACTGGGAAGGCCGGCAGCCTCAGATGTAGCTCCTCAGTTTGGTTTTGGAAAAAACCCACTCTTCTCACCTAGACCTACAAGGCCCTGCACAGTCTGGACTCCTGCCTCCTTCTTAATCACTGTTTGTCCACCCTGGCCACCCTTCTGGCCCCCAGTCACACTAAAGCTCATTCCTACCTCAGGACCTTTGCACTTGCAGTATCCTCTGCCCCTTGACTGGTCCATTCACATGGCTGGCTCCTGGTCATGCAACTCAAATGTCACCTCCTCAGAAAGTCCCCCTCCAACCATCGTGTCCAACGCTGCACCCCCATCCCTCGAGTCCCACCTTGACTTATCTTTTTCATGGAACTTGCCACACTCTGAAGCACCTCATGTATTAACTGGTTTTCTCATTTGTGGTCCACCTGCCCACTGGACTTTAAGCTCCATGTGGGCAGTCCGGCCAGTCATGTTCTCGGGGCTTTCCCAGTGCCTGCACAGCGCCTGGCACACCCTACGGGCTAGGTAACGTCTGTGGAATGAGCAAGTTAGGAGAGCCAGGAGTCCTGGGCCCTGTGAGATCTTGGATGAGTCACTTCCCTCTCCAGCCTCAGGCCTGACCTCAGCCTACTGCCAGAGACCCAGAGGGGTGGGGCTGAGCCGTCCCCTTCTGTGAGCGCAGGACTCTGGGGCTCTGGCAGCCTTGTCGGATCCAGACTCCAGGGAAACCGAGGCCCAAAGGTCCTGCCGAGCTTCCTCCCCCCACCCTCCTCCACCTACTACCCTTTACTCAGCCTCCCGGTTTATCTGACCTCACAGCCTGGCACACAGGAGGTGTTGGAATGAGCAAAGGAAGGGCAGGGTCAGCTCAGAGCGCCGCCGAGGGCAGCCTGGCAGGGCCCATTGTCTGGGGCCCCCTGGAGGAGGTGGTAGCCTCACCCTCCTGTGGGCCCCCAGGCTTAACGCACTCCATGTCTCAGCTTCCTGCTGAGCCCAAACAAGAAATTCTCCATGGCTTGTGCCAGCTCAGAGAGGCTGAGCAACCACCCAAGGTCACCCAGACGACTGGGGGTGAGGTCAACAGTCTATTTTCTAGGAACCCACCCTCCAGCCCTGCAGCATAAGCTATCCCTTTCCTCTCCCTTCCCATCAGCCATTTTTCGTTTTCTCAAAGGCTGATGGGGTGGCAGTGTTTGGTGTAGCTGAGCAGCTTTCCGAGGTCCAGAGTCCTCCAGTCCTGGGGGTCAGCTCTTGGCCCAGAAAGCCCCCACACGCTGTTCCCACCCACTCTGAACTCCAGCTGCAGGGAAAATGTTTCTTTCTCTCAAATGCCAGGCTCTCCCTCACCCCGGACCTTTGCTATGCCCTCGGCCTGGAACCCTCCCAGGGCTGCACCTGACTCTTCTGGTCTCAGCTTAGAGGACACAGCCATCCAGTAATTAGGCGGGGGCCCCTTCCCTGAGCTCCAGGGCCCCACGCTCCTTCACGAGGCTTTGTCACACCCGGTTGCTTTTGTAAAGACCCCTCCCCTCCGGACTGTGAGTTCTGTGAAGGTGGACTCTGCATCTTGCTCCACCCCCAGGTCCCCATCACCCAGCAGAGGGCCTGTCACATAGCAGGTGCTCAATGAATATTTAATGCGTTAATGAGGTCCGTTTTCATCCTTTCACTTTTACAGATTAGACCACTGAGGCACAGACAGGTTTAGCACCTTGCCCAGGTCACACAGCCAGGCCCCAGAGGAAAGGACGGCTTGGGCATGGTCGGATTGGACGGGGGTCAGAGGCCCGGCTGGAGTTTCCTAGAGGAGGGAGAAGGAAGGATCAGGGGCTGTGGAGCCACTTTGCTCTGCTCTGTTCCCAGTGATGTCTGTGTGGCCAGCGCCCTTGGTCTGACCACCAACCCCTGCTGTCATTTCGCAGATGAGAAAAGTGACTCCCAGAGGAGGGTAGAGCTTACTCAAGATCCATAGTGGACTCCAACATAGTGCCTCCCAGAGCTGCAGGCTCCCCCCAACACCCCACCTTCTCCCACCTGCATCCCTAGAGGGACAGGAGCCAGGGGGCCACCCCAGACGGAGGCCAGTGGGCCCTGCTTGAGCCAGGGGCAAGGGGTTGGGAAACCTGGGTTCTCAGGCTGGCCTTGCCACTTACCCGTGCATAAGCCCCTTAAAGTCTCTGGGCCTCAGTTTCCCCATCTGGATGGCTCCAGGGGGCTGGGCTGGAGCCTTCAGTCTCCCTGCTTCCCCAGAGCATGGGGACAGGCTGCGGGAGCTGGTGGGCAAGAATACAGGCTCCTGAGTCCAAAAGGCATAGTTGAGTCCTGGTTCCAGCTTTTATTGCTGAATGATCTTGCTCAGTCCCTTCACCCCCTGAGCCTCCATTTCATGGTCTGTAAAAAGAGAATAATAGCATTTTTTGAGGATAAAATGAGCTAATGTGGGGGAGTCCCTGGCACAGTGCCGGGCACAGCATCACCGTCGAATGAGGCTGTGTCGCCGTCGTATTAGTGAGCGGACACCGCCCTCTGGAGGCCAACGGGAGGAACAGCCGGCGAGGGGAGCCCAACCCGCTGCCCTGGCCAGGCTGGAACCGGCGTTCCGGGCGTGCGCCCATTGTCCAGATGGGGAGAGCGGCCCGGCGCCGGTCACTCGGTGTGCGCCTCCGCCCACTGGCAGAGGCGACGGGCGTAGCAAGCTGGGCTGACGGTGGAAAAGGTCCGGCCCGGGTAGCGCAGCGTCTTCCATAGGTGCTCCAGCCGCTTGCGGAGCCCGTAGACCGTGACGAGGTCCACGAGGCCCAGGAAATAGCGTTGCTCCGGCCCATCCACGATGTGCAGGGCGTTGGGGGCGTCGGGTAGCAGCCGACGGTTCTGGGCTCCCGACTCCTCCGGGCTCTGGATCCCTCGCACAGACCTGGGCACCGACAGGAGGGTGAGGCTGCCGCCTCCTCCAGGGGGCCCCAGCCAATGGACCCTGCGAGGCTGCCCCTCGGCGGTGCTCTACGCTGACCCTGCCCTTCCTTTGCTCATTCCCACACCGCCTGTGTGCCAGGCTGTGAAGTCAGATAAGCTGGGAGGCTGAGTAAAAGGTGGTTGATGCTCAGGGGCTGCACTAGCCGCATGCGGCCATTGAGCACTTAAATGTTGCCAGTCCCAATTGAGATGCAGGGAAGTGTAAAATACATACTGAATGTCATTGTCCAAGACAGAATGAGACAAAGAATGTAAAATATCTCATAGATGTTTATATTGATTAGATGATGACATGATAAAATTTTGGATGTATTGAGTAAATAAAATATATTATGGAAATTCTCTTACCTATTTCTCTTTACTTTTTTAAACGTGCTACTAGAAAATGTAAAACTGCACGTGTGCCTCCGATTGCATTTTTTTTTTTTTTTTGAGGAAGATTAGCCCTGAGCTAACATCTGCTGCCAATCCTCCTCTTTTTGCTGAGGAAGACTGTCCCTGAGCTAACATCCGTGTCCATCTTCCTCTACTTTATATGTGGGACACCTGCCATAGCATGGCTTGACAAGCGGTGCATAGGTCTGCACCTGGGATCCGGCAAACCCCAGCCGCGGAAGCAGAACGTGTGGACTCAACCACCGCACCAGCAGGCCGGCCCTCTCGTTGCATCTTTATTGGGTAGCGCTGGTCTAGAGCAGTGGGTCACACACTGGTATTTGGGTATTTCCCAAGCTTCTATTGGGAGTCATCCAATCCTGGACGTTTCAGGGGGCAGAGCTGAAACCTTGTGAACAAAGTCCAATTCCACTTTGCAGATGCTGTGTTTTGTTGCCTCAAAATGTATTCCAAATCAGAAGATGCCTTTGGCTGGGCCCCCAGTCCCAGCCAGAAGCAAGTGCAATTCCCTAACACTGTCCTCCTGGGGGTGGGAGGGAGGTGGGGGGTTGGAGGGTGGGGTGGCTAAAGGGGTTTATTCCTGCCTTGCCCAAGGAAGTAAGTCAATGAGAGACAAGCCCCTCCCAGGCACCAACCAATCAGAACCCAGTGGTGTGGGAGCCTGAGCAAGGCGCTGGTACTCTGTGGTGTCAGGGTTAACATGGATGAGGAAGAGGTGGGAGGGAGTGTGTTCTGAATGGGGGCTTGGAACTGGGTGAGGGCGGGGCTGAGACAGTGGCTATTGACCGGCCAGCATGGCAATATTTCAATAAGATAACCATTACATGCAAACTCGGGCTTACAGGCTGAATGACAGCCATGATCTAGGCGCCTGCTGGGGACAGAGGGTAAGGGAGAAGCTGACCTAGCTTGGATGGGCAGACTTGCGGGGTTCTCTGCCCCATGGCAGGCATTCCACCATCTGGTCAGGACGTGCCCAGCCCAGCCATGGGTTGTGTGGGGAGCCATTACCCTGGATTCTGCCCAAGCCACACCCATCCCAACATGATGATGGGCACAGTGGGGATGACCTCAGCATCCTAGGAGTGGAATGGCAGAGTTAAGGGGCAAGGGCTCTTTCTGAGGCAAAAATTAAATAGGTCTGAAACCTCCAATGGCTCCACATCCCCTTCTAGAAAATGAGCAGATTTTTCAAATTGTCATTGAAGCCCTTATCCAGCCGGATCTCACCTGTCTTTTCCCCTGAGCTGTGGTCCACCTGTGCCCGCTACCCCTGCCAGCCAGGCTTCACCAGCCCCCGACACATACACACACACACACACACACACACATACAAACACGCACTTTCCAGTCTCCCAGCCTTTGCCTGCGCTGTCCCCCCACCTCACCATCTGTGTTTTCCATGCTCTCATCACCTCATTCCTGTCGGGGGCCCACCTGACTGTGCGGAAGATGAGGCTACTGCCCAGGCCCTTCTCATCCTCGTGGAGCCGCTGGAAGGCCATCAGGAGGCTGTAATCCAGCACGTTGAGCTCCCGGAGGAAGGCAGTGTCCAGTTCCATCTGGCAGAGGAACCAGCTCCGCTGGGGCCCTGCCGGAGCATCAGTGCCCCCACTTGAGTTCTCATCATGTGCCGGGCAAGGTGCTGAGGGCTCCATATGCATCTGCCCCAGGAGGGCAGGTGCCATTACTGTCCCATTTCACAGATGAGGAAACTCAGCTGTAAGGAGCCTTGGTCACCCAGCTAGTAAGTCGTGGGGGTAGGAATTGAACGCTGCTCTGCTTGACTCCAGAACCTGGGCTCTTAATGACTCAGGCACGGGGTAGTGCAGGGGACTCCCTTCTAACTTCACCTTGAATGGAGGAAGAGCAGGCAGTGACCGCCCCGTGGCTCACCTAGGTTGATAGTCTTGCCCTCAAAGTTGAGATCTTTCAGCACCAGGACTATGGGGCTGCCCTCCGGGGCCGGGTCCACCCAGCGGCTCACCTCGCAGCCCTTGATGTCATACCTAAGAGGCAGGGAGTGGAGGACGGCAGAATTCAGCTCTGCACAGACTTGAGACACACAGGGAGCCTCACAAGGTAATCCTAAGAAACAAGAGCTTCCACGGGGTGACTGTTCATATCCTCAGCACGGCCCCATTGCATTGCTGTCCCAGGTCAGAGATGAAGAAAAAGGCACGGAGAGTTCCTTTGACTCGCCCAAGATCACACAGTACGTAAACGGCAGAGTAGGGATTTGAACTCAGGCCCGGAAGCCGGCCCAGGCTTTCCCCCTGCCTGTGCCTGCGTCTCGGCCCAGTCATCCCTGGGGGTGTCCCAGACACAGGGGTCCAACCCTAGAGGGCAGCACCAGGCGGCTGGAAGGAAGGCCCTGGCCCTGGAGCACTAGTGGGGAGCTTGCCGGCAGAGTCAGGGCAATGTGCAGTCAGAGGCTGGGTTCGAATTCCTACTCCTCACACAGCAGCGTGTGGTCCTCCCCGCCTCCGTTTCTCATCTAAAAAATGCGGATGATGATAAAACTATCCCTCAGAGTTGTTCTGGGAATAAAGAAGCTAATGAATGCAAATGGCTCAACACAGAGCCCAATGCATACTGAGCTCTCAGAGATGCTGGTCGGGGGTACCACGGTCTCCGACCCATCGGGGGATCTTGGGAACGTCCCTTCTCCTCCCCGGGCCTCGGTTTCGCCGGCCATCTAGGGAGCGTGGGGGCTTCAGGGGCACATTCCGGGTGGGGCCGGGGCCCTGCGAGGCCGACTCACCTCTCGGAGATGCGGCCGGCGGGAAAGAAGACGCTCTGCATGATGATGAAGTATTTCTGGGGACGGGGGTAGGGAGTGAGGGAGGCAGGATCTCACCCTCCAGCCGTCCCCTCCGGCCCGGCCCCCTCGCCTCCGCCTTACCCACCTTCTTTCCCTGGGCCACCCGGAGACTGTGCACTCCTGGGAGGTGAGAGGGTGCCAGGTGAGGGACCCCAAACTCGGCAACCCCGGGCCCATCCTACCCTAGTCCGGGCTCCAGGCCACGTCTCCTTCTCGAGACACGCCCCTCCAGGCTGCGCCCCCAGACCCCTTCCCCAGTTTGGGTGGTTGTCCCCCCTGCACTCGCCTACAGACTTAGTACCAAGTATGCGGGTCCTGAGATAAGGCCCCGCCCACACACCCTCCAGACAGGACTGTCCAATGCCCTCCTCCCCAGATCTTGGCCCCGCCCCCCGGCCCCCGCTCTCCCCGCTACATCGCGGCCTAGGACCCGCCCCCCACTGCACGCTGCTCGCCGCCGGACTCGCCTCCTGGCCGCTCCCCACCACCCGGCTTGGGCTGAGCGCCCGTCCTGGGAGTCGCCCCACTCCCTGGCCCCCTGCGCTCCTCGCTCCCTTCCTCCCACCGCCCCCCAGTCCCGGGTCCCGGCCGGCCGTACCCAGCAGCCGCGCGAGCAGAGAGTGCGGGTGCCGCTGCAGGTGCTGCACGTAGCGGGGCAGGTGGGCGAGCAGCACCTGCACCTCCCGGCGCCGCTGGGTCTTCAGGAAGAAGCGCTGGTCGTGGCTGGGGGCGGGAGGGAGAGGTCACCGACCAGGCCGGGCTGGAGCGGCCGCCCCACCGCCCCTCTCGCCTCCCGTCCTCCCCCTCCGTCTCACCTCCTCCATCTGACCTCTATCTGGCCCTGACCCTCCCTCACCCGGCGGTTCCGTTTCTCGCCCCAAGCGCCCCCCACCAGCCCGGAACACCACTCCCACCCCTTCCCCGCCCGCCCCTGCGGCCAGCTCACGACAGGAAGAAGCTGGCCTTGCTCTTGGAGGTGCTGAGGAACTGCAGGTAGGGGCCGCCGGGGCCCAGCGCAGCCTGGTAGTCCTCATCCGCCAGGCCTAGGGAACGCCGCAGCCGGGCGAAGGCCGGGCCAGCCAGGGTGCCCAGCTCGAAGCCCTGCTGGGGAGGAAGAGCCGCCCCAAGAGCGTCCACAGGGGCCCACGTGTGTGCACTTGGCCCTAGTGCCAGGGGGTCAGGGTAACCACACCCTTCCTGCAAGGCTCTGAGGCAAGCCATCGCTCCCACTGCCTGAGGGGGAAACTGAGGAAAGAGAGCTAAGACGGGTACACACCCCCTTCCATGCAGCAGTCGGGGGCTTCCTACCTCGTGAACCTGGGTCAGGACCTGGGAGAAATCCTCCTCAGTGGGCGGCCCCTACAGGGAGGGGCAGAGGGGCTCAGGGCAGGTCTCCACCCCCACTGCCAGCCCCAGCAGCTCCAAGCATCCTGCACTTGGCCTCGCCCCCTTCCCCCAGTTGGACTCCTCCAGCAAACAGAGACCACTCTGGGTGGGCCTGGGTTGGGCCGATGGGTCGCAGGCCCTCCCAAAGCTGGAAAGAGGATGAGAATGAGTGTGGCAGATCCTGGGTGTGTCTCATCCACTGCTGGGTCCCAAGGACCGGGCTCTCAGTTCAAGCCCGGCACACGAGCTCAGACACATGTTGGCCAAGTGAAGCCGGATGCCATCCCAGTAACAGAGGATGGCCTTGAAGCCAGGGGATCTGCCTGACTCGGCCTGGGAGGAGCAGGATGAGAGAAAGCTTCCTGGAGGAGGTGACTTCTAAGCTGAAATCTGAAGGATAGTGGAGGGGAAGAGCAGGGTGCTCATCACAGTGGGAACAGCATTGGTGGCCACCAGGAAGGGAAGGAGGGCCCAAGTGGCTGAAGCAAGTAAGGGAGGGATGGAGTGTGAACGAGGCTGGACACTTGGCCCTTGGGCTTGAACCAACAGGATCCTGAGGCCATGCTGAGTGTTGGGGAGCCCTGGAAGGTTCTCAGCAGGTGATGAGATTTAGAGGACTCTTACACTCTCCCTGGACCTCCAGGTCCCTGTGCCAGGACTGGCCTGTGGGATGTGGTCACACTGTGCACACGTGTGCACACACACAAACACACATGCTCACCCACCCATCCAGCTGCTGAGCTTGCAGCTGGGTGACCCTTTCTGCTGAGCCAGCCTGGCCCCAGCCTGAGCTCCAGGGAGGATGGGCCAGGCTGATGGAGTGGGGGTGGGGTCCCTTCTCAGCCATACACCTGGCAGAGCTGGGAGGGCCTCAGAGACCAAGGAGTACAATCCCTCCCATCCATTATACAGATGGGGACACTGAGGCCCAAGAGAGGCAGATGCCCTTCTAGAGTCACACTGCAACTCTCTGGGTCAGGGGGCTCCTCACACGCCCACTGCACCCTGGACTTTCTGGCTTCCTGGCCCCAGCCCCTACCCCAGAATGTCCCTCCCTCCCTGCACCACGCCCCTACCTTCCTCCCCCTCTAGCCCTCTCCAGTCCCCAGCCCTGCAGTATTAGCGGGACAGGCCATCAGTCTGGTCTTGCTGTCAGTGCACGGGACAGGTTGGCCACTCACTGTGGGCGGGTGGTCCATGGAGACCTGCGTGGCAGCCCACAGCCCTGCCTGCATCATACACGTCATCTGGTGCAGCTCATGCCCCGGGTCAATCTCAAACAGGCCTAGACGTGACTGCTTGTCCCGTAGACGCCAGAGGAGGCCACGGCGGCTGGAGCCCGCAGCAGCTGCTCTGGATCCAGCCTCTGGGGAGGAGGCCAGGACCTGGTGGCAGGAGGCATGAGAGGCAATGAGCATCCCAGAGGGGAAAGACCCGGATTTGAGTCCCACCTCCACAACTGGTGAGCCTTCCTTTCATCTCTCTCTGCCTCAGTTTCCTCAGTTGTAAAATATGGAGAATGCTAGCACCCACTTCTCTGTGTCTCCTGAGGAGCAGCCACACAGTGCCTGGCATGCAGTCAGCGCCCGAAATAGAGTGATACTTATTATTATCAGTAGGCAGAACGTGGGTTCTGCAGCCACACCTGGCCCAAGACTGACTGTCTCTCACCAGCTGTGTGACCTTAGGTAAGTAAGTCACCTAACCTTTCTGTGCCCCATCTTCTTGTCTGTAAAATGAGAACTATAAGAATTCCTTCATGGCAGGTATTAACTGTTGTTACTGCTGAGTGTGAGCTCCATGCACAGGAACCCTTTAGTAGGAGCCCTGATGCCGGTGACTCAGTCATCTATTCCACTTGTCTATGCTGAATTCCTCTAGCCCAGCGTGGAGGGTCAGCACGAGGCTGAGCTCAGGGCAGCTGACCCATTAGTAGTGGGAGCCCCCCATCTGCCAGCAATGGCTGAGAGCTTGACCTCCTAACAGCCTTATGAAGGAGGAGCTTTTATTATCATCTCCATTTTGCCGAGGAGGCAACTGAGGAAGCTCTCAGAGGATACCCGCCAGACTCCTCCCATCCTACCTGCGGCCCCATGTGGGGCGTGTCCTGGTCCCGCCTAGTGCAGGACCCCTCCTGGGCTTGGATGGGGGTGTGTCCGTGCGGCACTGGGAGGGGAGGCCCAGCTCCTGTCCCCCAACCCTTCCCTCTCCCGTCTTCTCTCGGATCCGCACCTACCTCGCGGGGTCCCGGGCTCGGCGCGGCCATCGCCCGCGTAGCAGCTTCCCGGCCTCTGGCCGTGTCCCCCGCCGCCCCGCCGCCCCGCACCAGGAGCCAGGCCCCGCCCCTGCCTCTGGACCGACCAATCGCTCGGTGCCTGCCACGGCTGCACCCAATCCGCGCCGGGGGCGCCGGCATCGCCTGCGGATCCCGCCCCTAAGCCTGCAGCATCCTTTGGACCGCGGTCCAGGGCGGGGCGGGGCCGCTGCGCTTTGATTAGGGTCCCCAGGGGTGGGGGACTCGGGTCTCGGGGTCGCTTGAGGAGGCGGGGAACTTAAATCCAGTACCGCCCACTCACTCTGGCGTGAAATTCCCATCCACTGTCTTTCAGGTGAGGAAAGTAAGGTCCAGAGAGAGAAGTGACTATCTCCAGGTCACACAGGAAGTCAAGGGCATGTATCATTCAACACATGTTTTGAACACTCAGTATGGGCCGGGAGCAGTGCTGGGCCCCAGGGATGTAGTGGTGAGGGAGAGGGAGGAACACGGCTGCCAGCGTGAGCTTTTAAAAGCATGAATCGGATGATGTCACCGTCATGCTTAAAACCTCCAGTGCCTTCTCGCGGCACTGGAACAAAATCCATCCCGCTCGCCATGGCCCCCAAGCCCATCTTCCCACTCTCCAGCCCCATCTCAAACTACTCTCCTCACTACGCCCACCCGACCACCACAAGGGCGCCCTGCTGCTCCTTAGCCACTAAACTCTTTCACACCTCGGGCTTTTGCAGGTGCTGTTCCCTCTGGTTGAAATCCTTTTCCCCAGGCTTTCATTTGCCTTATTCCATCTTATCGCCTCACCCGTCTAAGCATCCCTCCCCTCATTCTTGATCACATCGTCTTGCTTTATTTTTGTCATCACTCTTAACAATGAGACTGTCTTGTTCACTTGTTTGTTTCTTCCATCTCTCCCCTAGAAAAGGAGTGCCAGGATAGGAACCACGCCAGGCTGGTTTCCTGACTCAGTGCCTGGCACAAACCAATGTTCTATAAGTATATGCTGAACTGATTTAGGATGTGCAAAGGGTTTTGGTGAGTTCCAGGAAAAGAAAGACCAGCGTGGCTGGAGAGAGAAGGAGACAGTGAGCGAGTGAGCATGCAGGTTCCTGTAGGCCATGGTCGAGAGAGGGTGGAAACCCGGAGGGGCATTTTATGTGTGTGAGAAAGATGCTCACGTGTTTTCAAAAGGCACTGGTTGTCGTGCATTGTCAGATTGGAGGGGGCCAGAGTGGGCAGGGGGAGGGCAGTGAGGAAGCTTTGCTAACTCAGGGCGGAGGATGGTGGCTTTGCGTCAGGAACGTGACTACTGGGGGGAGGGGCAGTGAGAAAACGGGAGAATTGACAGGATTCGGAATTTCGGGGATGGGGCTAGGAGAGGAAAGCCAGGGTCAGCGATGTGTGTCAGGCTGGGGTCAGGGACACAGGACGATGCCAGTCATGAGAGGGGGCAGGGCATGAGGGCCAGACTTGGGTGAAGTCTGAGAATTCAGCTCATGAAAGGATGAATTTGAGATGTCATTACAGCACCCAATGAGGACATCAGGTGGGCGACTGGTGCATGTGCAATGCATCGGAGCACAGGAAAGGGCTGGGCTGGAGGTGAGCCTGGGTAGGGATGAAGTTACCTAGGAAGAGTATGAGGTGAGGCAGCCTGTGACCTGAGGGCCTACCTTCTCATGGCAGAACAGAGGAGCTGGAGTGGGAGAGACATGAAGGAGGAGAACGGGTCACCACAGACACCCAGAGAGCATGTGGGAAGGTGCATCCGGGGGAAGGTCACAGGCCAAATGTGGCAGAGGGGTCAAGGACACGTGCACCGGTGGTCTCAGTGGGTGCAGACTTCCTGGAGAGATGCTGAGCACAGCGGAGGTGAGAAGTGCAGGCAGCAGGTGTGGACGCCCTCCTTGGAAGTCCAGCTGTGAAGGGGACAGGGAGGGACTTGGGCAGAATTACTGGGCTGATGGACGGTCCTTTATGTGGGAGCCTGGAGCATACTGGGAGAAGCAGCGGCTGTTCCCATGAGAGGGGCATCATCAGTGACATGAGGCGCCTGCTATAGCAGGGGAAGGACAGGACCCAGAGCCCAGGTGGGCAGCTCTGCGGGGTCTGGAGGACACGGAGAGGGTGGGGCAGGCGAGGGCAGGGCAGGTGTACCTGCAGTTGGCCTCTGTTCTCTGACGGAGACCCCTCTGCTAACTGGAGGCAGAGTGACCATCAAGCTGTGGCGGATGGAGGTGTACACTGGGCACTGTGAATGGGAGACCTGGCTGCCCAGAAGGGCATAGTGGGATTGCTGGGGGCTGGGCCTGTGCCAGATCAGTAAACCCGAACACAGTGGAACCAGCCCTGCGCTGGCTCAGTGAGCAGCCCTCACTGCTCAGAGCCACGCCAAAGTGGGCTGCTGGGGACAAGAGATGGACAAGAGGTTTGCACTTTGGGGGCTGGCCTTTAGGAGTGTAAAATACTAGTGCCTGCTGGCTGGGCTGGCACGGGGGAGGCACGGGGGAGGCTAATGTGATGTCTGGCAGATCACCACGCCTCTACCCACTCCCCAGCCGTGAGCTGCACTGGGCCAGAACCATATCTGTCCTGGGCCCTGTTTTATCCGGGTCAAGCATAGGAATGATCCACGAGGCACCTCAGGCACCCTCACTCACTGCACGAACCAGGGTCTCCCAACCTGAGACCAATGCAGGGGCTGGCTCCCAGACCAGCTCCAGCCCCCGAGCGGCCCGGCTCCCCTGGTCAGGGATGACACAGACACGAACACACCATCAATGTTTATTGTTCAGGCCTCCCCAGTAGGCCAGCACTGGGGCTAGGGGGCTGGCCTCCATGAGGAGCACTTGGTTTGGGGGCCCGGTGTGGCCACCCTAATGCGCCCTGAGGCCTGGGGGTGGTCCTGGGGCCTGTCAGTCCTCCTCCTAGGCTCTCCAGGTCCAGAAGTCCTTGTGGGGTCTGGGGCTTGTTAGACCGGGAAAGCTGCCTTCGGGGAGGAGCAGGACATGTGGAGAGAGGTCAGCAGAACATGTGGGGATAGGTCACGTGCTGCCTCAGAACCTGCTAAGTCCAACATCAGCATGTGACAGGAGGGAAACTGAGGCAAGAGGGGAGAACCCAGAGGAAAAAGTGACAGGGAGTCTGAAGGCGGGGTGGGAAGGACCAGCATCTTTCAGGCCCTGAGCCGGAGTGGGTGAGAGGGAGACTTCCATGTACTCGTCCCTCCTGGCTTCTGGCAGTGTGAGCAGGGGCTCTGGTGAGTCGGGGTGAGTCCTGAACAGCTCCAGCACACAGGGCTGTGTGCAGGGCAGCCAGGCTTGAGGGGGCTGCAGTACCTGGACCGGTCCTGCGGGGCCCCACCTTTGGGCCCTGCCCTGGAGGGGAGGCAGAGAGGGGCTGCAGCCTCATCCCGCTGGGCCTTCACTGAGTCTTTTTGGTCACCTTCTGGTTCTTCAGCAGCACATAAATGATGAACACTCCTGGAATAAACAGACCAGAAAGGCCAGGTCAGATTCGGGCTCGAGGCTGCCGGGAGGCTTGAGCAGGGCACAGCATGGTGGAGTGACCCACACGCAGGGCCAAGCACCTACCCAACCACCCTCCAGGCCACCTGGTCATCTCCCTGGTCATTCATCAAGCCACACATCCACCTACATTCATTCAATAAACACCTACTGAGTGCCTACCGCAGGCAATTTGCTGTATTTGGTGTTTCAGATTCTATGGGGAACAAGATCCACCCAACTACCCATCTACTCATCCACTACCTGTTCACCTCCCTACCTGCCCACCCAACACCCATCACCCCCCCACCCACCCCTCATCTAGTTATCGGATTGTTGACTCAGCACATACTTTCTTGAGCCACTCAGTGCCAGGAACCTCAGGCCAGGCCTGTGCTGGGAGCTGAGGACACGGTAATGATGAAGCCACAGTCCCCGCCCCGGGGAAGCCCACCCACTAAACCACGGGAGACAGAGAGGTGCAGGAATCATGAGCCAGGGTGACAAGGGGGTGAGAGGTGATTGAGGTGTGAGCAGTGAGGATGGCAGTGGTAGAGGGAGCAGGAAGAAAGGAGACATCCCGTTTGAGTCCAGTGAGCCTGAGGCATGGGAGACTGATTTGCAGCCCTGAGGGGGAACAAGAACACCCCAGGGGGTGAGTTGGGGACAAGGAGCCTCAAGCAGATGTACAGCAAGTGCCAAAGTGTGGCAGCACATTCAGGGGTGGGAGAGGGTCATGGGGACCCCCAGACACTCTGCCCAGGGTTAGGGGGGTGATGACTTACCCACAAACAGGAGCAGCAGGAGGCCGGCGGCCAGTGGGATGGCAACAGCATAGGCTCGGGGCAGGAAATACTTGTGGATAACATGCTGGCTGTCGATGAATGGCTGCCACCGAGGGCAGAGCTCTGATGAGCATCCTCGCCTTGCCAAGCCCCCCAGCCCAAACATCCCACCTCCTCCATCTCAGGGGCTGACCCCATTCAAAGCACGGGACAGCATTTGCTTTTCTTTAAGATGACGGCATTTTGGGTGCCCTGGTTTGCTTCCTTCCTTCATTTATTTAATAGTTGTTACTGAGCACTTGTCTGGTGCCCACCCTAAGTTGGTGCTGGGGACCTGGCAGTGAACAGAAGGCAAAGACTTGCCCTAAGGCCCTTACAGCGTCGCAGGGGCAAAGGGTACCTGAGGAATCCTTGAGTGATTCCCAATCTGGGCTCCAAGGTTTTCTTTACTAATATTTTCTCCAAAGGATACCAAGTTCTGCAGGATTCTGCCTTCTGAGAACACTGCACTTCTTAAGCAGTAATCAACAAGTTTCCCCACAAGAAAAAAAGGCTACAGGCTCTCAACAAAATCCATTAGCACTCGTCATGCCCAGAAGCCAGCGGGATAACCAGAAGGACTAGAACTCCCATCAAAGGCAAAGCAAATCAGGAACAGGGCTTACAGTGTAGCGGTTAACGATGCCACCTTGGGCCCGACCCTCCTCCCTGAGCCTCAGCCTGATTTATAAAACGGGGACGCCACTAGCGTCTTCCCCATAGCGCTGGTCTGGAGCTTTCACGAGATATGCAGGCACTAGCACAGTTAAATGATGCCAGGAGTCGGCTTCAAGATCCAGGGTTGGGAGAAGCTGAGAGAGGGCGGGGCAAGCACACGTACCAAGAGAATCACCCAGGCGGTGTAGTAGGTGAAGATGATCAGGCTAACGGCGACGAGCCCGAGTCCCACCACCTGGTCTGTCCCCGTGGCCTGGAGAAAAGGGAGGGCTCAACTGACGAAGTGACTCTCCATCCAGGGGCACTAACAGAGGCGGGTGTCGCAGCCTGATTACGCTCTAAGCTTCCCGTTCACTCAACTGACGTGTCTGACGCGACTGACTAGGATCAGTTTCTCCGCTGGGAGAGAGAGTGCCGCCCCTCGGCGTTCTCATCCGTACGACGGACCGACGGGGGAACAATTCCGGTTCCGACTGCCTAAGCCCTGGCTCCTGAACAGACCCGGGACCCCACCCCTAAACGCCCCCGAACGCCAGCACTCGGCCCTAAGCTCACCATCTCACCCGCCCTCCAGCACCAGAGCGGCAAGCCACGTCCGGTTCTGGATCCGGGCCCTTCTGGCCTTGTGCCGCGGGGCACACTGGGAGTCGTAGTCCTTAGGCCGGCCCAGGACTACGTTACCCAAACAGGTAGGCACCGCCTTCGCCTTTGCATGTCGGGAAATGTAGTCTCCCAATGGAATTGTGGGACTTGATGTTTCCGAATCTCCGCAGGGAAGGGGACGGAGTTGGGAACCCAGACTGATTGGCACTCGTGGCTTCAGTCCTGTCTAACTCGCTCCAAAAAAACCCCACCGATCTTTAAATATTCCAGAGTCCAAAAGCCAGTGGCGGATGGAGGTGGGGGGTCGGAAGTCCCATTTGAAAATTGAGGCTCAGAGAGGGACCAGGACTTGCAGGAGATCACAACTCGAGTCAGTGGCGAAGCCGAAACCCTGATCCGGGGGTCCTACTTCCTCGTCCCGATGCCCTAATTTGTCTGTTGAGGGGACAGTGGAGAGAACGTTCCTGGGGTGGAAGGAGGAGGGGTGCCCAAGCCCGCAGGGATGGGGAGGATTTCGATTGGCTGTGAGACGGCGCCCTCTTACCATCGCCTGGCTTCCCTGGCGACCCTTCCGGGTGTCCCCTCTTCACTGCACGGATGAGGCCGGAGTGACCCTCCCTCCCCTCACCGGCTGCCTCTGGGGTCCTGGGTGACGCGGCAGCCCAGGCAACAGCCTAGACAGATCTTGGGACTGGCCGCTTGTTCAGGCCCCTCCCCAGGCTTGGAGGCCCTTTCCTCTGAGAGCAAAGGGAGCTTGGGCCTGATCTCCTTTCGCGTCTCCTCCAGCTCCGGCGTCTGGAACGGTCTTCCCACAGCTCGCGGGGCTGGCTGCTCCTCACCCATCAGGTCTCACTGGGATGCCACCCATCCCAGGGAAGCGACCTTCGCAGCTGGGCCAGGGTTCCCTCGTCAGTGCTCCACAGCCCCAAGCATGTCTCCCTAAGGACACTTGTCCCCGCACTTTCGTTAGCTGATTTACTTGCTGTTCTGGCCCACCTGACTGAGCTCCCTGAGGATAGGGTCTGTGGTCACTGCTGTGTCCCTCAGTGCCTAGAATGGGGCTTAGCACAAAGGAGCTTTCAATCACCCAACAAGCTTTAAGATTCTGTGATGTTTCTCGATCCTGGAATGCTAGAGTATAGCGTCCAGGGACTCCAGGCCTCCTGAGGGGTTGGGTGGAGGCTCAGCCTGCTCTCTCCACTTGGGGGGCAGGGGGAGGGGGGTCTGAACCTGGCATGGTTCGCTCTTGCTGGTAGCATCTGTCTCCTTGGGTCCTCTGAGTCCGTCTCTAACTATAGGGACTGCCCTCCTGAAGCTGACGGAAGCGACCATTTTTTCTCCCTACCATTTTGTATACTGATTTTTCACTTAGCATTACTGTGTTCCAAAGGAGCAACCCTTTTTGGCCTACAGGCCCATTCCTTCCCTGTTTCTCAGAACAGCCTTTGGCCTCAGCCGAGAGCCAACTTTTCCCTCCCCAGGTGTGCACGGAACAGACAGACAGACTGAGAAGCAGCCGCCAGGGTTCGCAGGGGCCAGGAGGAGCAGCAGCCCCGAGAAAGAGGTTGGGGTACCACAGTGCTGCAGCAGGGACTAGGCCTGCAAGTCTGGTCCTTTCTGGCCTGTCCAAAGCCACAGAGGCTTCCTGCCACTCCTGGGCTCCTTAAACGCCCCGGGTGACAGGCTTTCCCAGAGCTTGGCTAAGCTGCTGGCTCCTCTAACTTGAGTCCGGGGCAGGGAGCGAGGGGCCTAGGCCTGGAGAAATGCCGGCGGGGGGCTCTAAAGAGGCTGGGGAAACCCTCGGCACCTCCCAAAGCTCAGGCTGTACCCACACTTTCTCATTTGACCCACCACCCCGTTTGCAGCTGCGAAAACTGAGGCACAGTCAGCTGCCCTAAGGCATGCTCCTCGGAGGCCACCTGACTGCTGGGGAGGTCCGCAGAGCAGCAGTTAGGACTTGGGCTCTGACGTCAGAGTTGCCACTTACTACGCGTGAGACTGGCGAGAAACTGCCCTTCTGGGCCTCAGTTTCCTCCCAAGAAATCTGGAGTAATAAAGGTAGTAGTAACTGTGACTGCACCCAGGACGTGGAGAACCTGGCCACCTACATCTTCCCACCCCCAGAATTGTCAGTTTATCCATCTGGATTCCTTCTGCCGCAGTCCTTGACCCCGAAGTCAATTCAGTAAAACAAACAAAAAACCAACATGCCATAACAAACAAAAACTGCAACATTTAATTTCTTCCCCCAAACCAAGACACTGATACTAGGCTGATTTCCCCTTACAATGTTATTTTCTACAACAGAAGCAGACACAGATACACAAACACAGCCCACTGAATCGAGGGTAGGGTTGGTGGTGACAACATTCTGTTAGAAAGAAGGGGAATTTTAAAAAGAAAAACAAAGGACCTCCCCTCCCCCCATCTCCCTACTCACCTCCCTAAAGAGAGGAAAACATGGACATTCTCCGTCCTGGCAGATCATGCCATGTGGTCAGTTTGTGGGGTGACCAGAAAAAAAAAAACCTAAAAATATTGTAGACATTTTTTTTTTTTAAATCTTCTAATAAAAACGTTAAACTTTCAGGAAGATTCCAAACGGGCATTGCATAGACCAATTCCTTTCCAAAAATATCTCTAATATATTCTCTCTCTCTATATATATAGAATTTCAAGTCCAGGAGCTGTGGGTGCCTGGTGGGAATTCACTGAGCTTGAGGGGACCAGAGAGCCGAAGAAAGGGCTCCCACGTGGGGATGAGGCCAAGACTCCGGGACTCCGGCTCCAGCCAGCATTAATTGGGTTGTGGCCGAACTCTCAGTCCAGTTACCCTGGCCCAGGGCCTGGCATGGGAGAATGTAGCAGGCTCTGTTTCCTTCTGGGTGACTGTCAAGTTCAGACCTCGCCTAGGGTGGGGCTGGGGTTCCTGGTTTCGGGGAGTCTCCCCAACACCAAAGCCAGCTGTTTTATGCCTAATGCCCCAGAACTTCGAACGCACCCCAAAGGCACCTCCCCAGTGGACTGAGGTCATGCAGACACAAAGGGAAGGGCAGCGCTCTCCCATCTTCCAGGGATCACTTTATCTGCATACAGTGCAGCCAGCTCCCTTTCAAAGTGCCAGGTGTCTGTGGGGCAGGAAGGGACCCGACGAGCTGACCAGAGGCTTCTCCAGCCAGGGCAAATGCTCCAACCTGCCTCAGTGGGCACCTCTAACATTCATTTTCTAAGAGTCAGGTGATTAAAAACGATGACGACAACAAAAATCCTACAAATGCTCTGGTCCCAATGCCAGGAGGTTCCAAGACCAAGACTCCAACTGTAAGCTAACGCAGAAGGGCAAGGACCGCTCCCAGCCTGGGGAGGACAGCCCCACCCCACTGCACCCCTACCAGAGAGAGAACCAGGATACTGGCCCCCCATCCAGATCCCCAGCCCTGCTGGGACCCAGCCAGCAGGTAGGGCAGAGAACAGAACTACCTCCCCTCATCCGGGGAAGGAGAAAATATCAAACTGTGAACGCTAAAAAAAAAAAAAAAAAAAAGGAGTAAAAGAGAGAAGAGAAAAAAAGGAAAGAAAGCAAAGTATAGGGCAAAGTAAACACCAGCCTGCTGGGTTTATACAAAATGAATGAAACTTAAGAGCAGCGGGGGGAGGTCTGTCCAGGGACCGGCTGGCTGGCAGCCAGGACCCACCTTCAAGCCAGTAATGAGGACCAGGGGGGAAAGTGCCGAGAGCAGAGGCTTTAGCGAGGGGTGAGGGGCAGGACAGGAGGCAGGGCCAGACTGCTCCCCGCTGGGAACACCCCCCTAAAGGACCCGCCTCTCCCTTGCCCAGAGAGAGGGATGCTTTCAGAGAAGGGCTGGGGCTTTTCTGGCCAGGAAGCCAGCTCCAGGCCAGTCCAGTCACAGCTCACCTGCCTCTCCAGCATCGGCCCTGGCCTGGCCAGATGACCCTGAGGGGGAGAAAGGGGGCTTGGCTTGCTAAGCCCAGCCCAACCAGGCCCCTGACCTCCAAGGGCTTGGGAGGCACCTTCCCTGGCTTCCTATGGGAAACCAGCTGCTCAGGACCCAGCCCTGGGCAGAGGAGCACCCCCTTTCTCAGCATGGGTCAGGCTTGAGCTGGAGCTAACAGGTGGGAGGAGAGGCAATGCCCGGGTCCAGCCGGGTGGCTAGAGCTGGGCCGCTGGCTGCACAGCAGGCAGCGCCCAGGAATTCTTGGGAAGGGCTCAGAGGAAGGGCAGGCGGGGCCAGTGGGGCTGTGCTGGAGACGAGCATGTGCAAAGTGCAGGCTGCCAGGGCAGCAGGAGAACATTCGTTGGGGGAGAGGGTCTCAGTCTGGAGTGTAGGTGGGGTCTGAGGTCTTGACTCCCAGGAAGAGGCCGCCAGCGGGTCCCCCAGGACACAGGGAAGGGACGGCTGAAACACTAAGCAGTCAGAGGGCCACGGTGGCAGGATTCTGAGGGTGGACTGGCCCCCCAAGGACAGGGGGCAGTGGAGCAAGGCCCTGCCAGGGCATCGTTGAGCCAGTGCTCCTGGAGTGGGCTGGGACACAGGGCAAGAGGCCCCTTGGCCACAAGCATGTTCGCGTGCGTAGGAGCTGCTGCAGGTCCTTGCCAAGGGGCCAGGGCAGTCTCCCTCGGGCCAGTCCTGGCCATCTTTCTTGCCCACCTGCCTCATGGGCCCATGTGTCCTGCCCTCTAGTGGTTCAGAGGAGAATATTCACAGTGGTGCCCGGGCCCTGGCAGGCCAGGAGGCTCCCGGCATGGATGAGAGGACAGTGGAATGATGCTGTGGGGCAGGAATGGGGCTGGAGTGCATGGAGGAGGCACAGATGAGATGCAGTGCGGATGGCGATCCGACGGGGAAGGTCCCTCGTGGAATGACACGGGTCTGGCCGCCCACAAGGCAGGGCCCTTCTCCAGCCTGAACACCTGCTCCTCAATGGCTTTCAATCACGACCGGCTCGTACACCCCAGAGGAGACCCTGTGGGAGAGAGACAGGTCAGCTCGTTCTCTCTGATGCTCTTTGGGCTAGGCCATTCCTAGTACTTCACAAGCAGGCACTGTTAACTGGCTCCATTATGCAGAGGGAGAAACTGAGGCTCAGAGAAGTTGAGTCACTTGCCCAGGGTGACAGAGATGGTAAGCACCAGAGTCTGTGCGATCGCAGAGCTGGCCTAAGCCATTCCTGGGCATCAGCGGCTTACACACCGGGCTGTGCTGCACCCATCCTCACAGCAACCCTGGCAGGGAGGGACTGTGCCCCACCCCACTTGACAGATGAAGAAACTGAGACTCACAGGGATTATTGGGCTTGCTAAGAGGCAGATGGTTGGGGAGCCTGATCAGCTTTTCTCCCAGCTGAGGCCATGCCCACCCAGGGGTACATGGACATTTGGGGCTTGGCTTGCTGCTCTGCTATGCCCTTGATGTCAAATAGATTGGCTCTTCCCTGCCCCGAACCCCAGTCTCCTCATCTTCAGAGAGGGCTAGAGAAGGGTGTTCAGAAACCTCCAAAGAGATCCCCTCTTTTCTTCTTGCCCACCTGACACAGGGGCAGCCCAGGAAGCTGCACTGAGATGGTGGCTGCAATTTCGAGTCCTGGCCAGCAGGGGTCAGCAGAGCAGCGCCAGAGGGCAGGTCCCAGGACCCTGGGCCCAGCTGTCTCCTCCCGCTCTGGCCCCAGGTGGCACCTTCCCACCCAGCCCACAGGAACCTGGGGCAAAGCCTTTGGCACAGCCCTGCACGTGGGAAGCTCCTCCGCTCACTCAGCAAGCCAGCCACACGGTAAGCGCGCTGTCGACAGACGACTGAGAGAGCACTCTACCAACCGCAGAGTTCAGGCCAAAGCTTGCTTCGACCGCCCCCCCCCGTGAATATCATTAGGGCAGAAATTTGTGTTGCTCACCGCTGTAGCCCAACTCAGTGCCTGGTGCTTAGCTGGTGCTCAATAAATATTTGTCCAATAAATAAATGAGTTACTGTCATCATTTTTTAGGGGTTCCCAGATCCAGGAGGAAGAGCAAGAAAAGTAGGGCCCAAAATAAAGATGTATGAAGCCCCTGCTGTGTGCCAGGCACTTTCCAAAGGTTACCCTGGAAATCCTCAGGACCAACCCTGGGGGGTCGTCTCGGGTGTCCAGGTGAGATGATGCGGTCCACACTATTTGACAGATGAGGGAACTGAGGCTCAGAGAGACGTGACTGGCCCCAATCACACTGTGGTGACAAGAACTGGCATTCAAAGCCAGGTCGGTGGGCTGCAGAGAACTTGCTCTCACCACTGTGTCCCCTACAGCCACCCTGGTGCCCACCCCCAAACCTTCACCCCTACCTGTTGGCCAACTGGATCCCACTCAGCGTGGTGGAGCCATCACGGCTCACGAACAGCCGGAGGTTGCTGTCTGTGGGGACACACGGGAGGATGGAGGCTGAGGGGGGGGCAGAGGCAGCCAGGGAGCCCCCGGAGCAGGCGGCACCGTCCCACGAGCCCACCCGGCGCGGGCAGCTCACCCTCACTGTTGCTGCCATCCGTGAAGTCCTGGCTCTGCATGATCTTCTCCACGATGTCATCCGCGTCGATCCGCGTGTCATCCACCCAGGTCGGGTGGCTCTCCATCGAGTCCTTCTTCCGCCTGGGGCAGGGTGGGGCAGAGTCACAACAGTCAGGGCAGTAACAGGGACAATGAGGACCACAGCGCACACCCACAGCACCCAGGATCTCCATGTGCACGTGAAGGCCCGGGCAGGCTGTGTGCACTTAACCCTTACATCAGCTGGCGGAGCACGCGCTGCTGTCAGCTGGGCCCGTAGATGAGGACACAGAGGTTCTGAGAGGCCAGGCGGTGCGTGAGCTGGGGACCTAGGGTACACTGAATCCCACACAGCAACCGCTAACTGGGCATGCACACCACCAGGCCGGGGCAATGCCCTTGAGGAGCATCAGCTGGTTGAACTGTCACCATCCAACCCTGTGAGGCAGGGACCCTGCTGTCCCCGTGTTACAGGTAAAAAAGTGGAGGTTCAGGAGCCATCGGGAGGGATCTGTTCTCCAGGAGCACTGAGCAGTGAGACTCACCGAAACGAGCGGTCGGACAGATGCGGGGGCCGGGGCGGCCTCGGCGGCTTCTCGGGGGGTCGGTGCTCACGCTCGCTGCCCTCGGGGCCCTCCACAGTCATGCTGAGGCCACCAGAGGCGCTGCTGCTGGTGGACGTGTTGCGGCGGTGTGTCAAGTCCGAGAGGCTGGAGGAGCGCGAGTGCTCCGTGCTGTAGCCTGTGGGTGGTCAGGGCGGTTCATGATGGGGGAGCCCGGGAAGGCGCAAGGCCAAGGGTGCAGGGCTGGGCGGGCACACTCACCCGAGATCTTGGACTGCTGGCTGGCGTAGCTGGAGTTGCGGGAGTGCCCGGAGTGGAACACCTCCTCGGGGCTGGACAGGTTCTGGTCCGGCTCCTCCGGCACCCCTGGAAGGCAGGGAGGGGGCAGGGGTTACCAGTGGTGCCTGGCCTCACCCTTCACACGTCCTCTCGCTGAATCTGGAGTTGGAGAGGACGATATGTATTTCCATTTAACAGACTGAAAAACTGAGGTTCAGAAGGGCAGCAACCTGCCCCAAGCCACCGTTCACCATCTGAACCCAGGTTCACTCACTTCACAAATATCTGGTGGGGACCAGCTCTGTGCAAGGCACTCGAGTGACTGCTGTGAACAAGAGACAGGGTGTCTCAGGCCAGTGGGGAAGAAGAATGCGGAACGAAAAATGACCCACAATTAACCACAATTCACTGAGTGGTGCAGAGCAGGGAGAAGTGCACGTGGGGTATCTGACCCAGTCTGGGGTCACGGAAGGCTGCTCTGAGGAGGCAGCCTTAATGCAAGATCTTCAGGAGGCAGGGGAGGAAGCAAGCTAGATAAGGCATCAGGGAAAAAACCTTCCAGACAACGGGAACAGCATAAGCAAAGGACCTGAGGCTTCAATGAGCTTGGGTCATTGTAGCTAGAGTAGAGCAAATAAGGGGAAGTGGAGTGGCTGACACCCTGGCCCAAGTCACCCCTAAGTCCAACTTTGAAACAACCTTTCCAGCACTCCCCAGCAGGAGGTGCAAGGGAAGCCAATGGGACCCCCCGGGGCCCTGTGAGTACCCCCAACCAGCCCTCCTGGTCAACACACCCATCCCCTCTTCAGAGAGGAGCAAAGCCAGGCCATAGGCTGGACCCCAGGCCTGCCCGTGTCCCCACCTAAAGCCATGTGGTCTTTCAAGTCCCCAACAGGTTCTCTGCACGTCGGGGGAGGGGGGAGCAGAAAGCCAGCTACACAGACATGTGGGGGTGCCCACTCTGCCAGGTGGGCACCTCTTCTACTCTGCATAAAGGCATCATCTGTGCTGGGGTGGCCTGGTCCCCAGATCGCTCCTCTGGGGATCCCCACCCTGAAGCTGGAGAGAGCAATGGTGCTGGGAAGCCCCCATTCCCAAGTGTGGTCCCCAGGCTGAGGCAGGGAAGCACCCCAGCTTCTGCTCTGGCCCTCACCTGCTGGATCTCCAGGAAAAATGGGAGTGGAGTAAAGCTGGCCCTTGAGGGCAGAGGGTCCCTCACTGCTCCCAGCCCCCAGGGGCAGAATCACCCAGCAAACATCTGCTGAGCTGCCCGAGGCCCTGAGCCCTAATGGCTCTTGTGGCACAAATGAGGGCCCTCAGGTGCCCTGCTGCTCACTAATTAGCTTGGGGCAGTCTGCCTCCCAGCTCTGAGCTCACCCCCTGGAGGGGGTGCAGGGGCCGAGGCTCACCTCAGGGGCCCTGCCTCACCCTGCATAGCACACCTGGAGCCTCCTCTCACGGCAGCACCTCCTCCTAACTGCCACACTGTCTCCTCTGGAGATTCAGGCTCATTCGAATTTTTTCTAACATTTAGTAATAAAGATACTTTAACAGAAACGTAGTGCTGGGAAATACACAGAGTATGTACTATGTGCCAGACCAGGCACACACGTTTGCCCAGTTAATCCCCAAACCCAGGATGTGGTTACTACTGCTGATTCCATTTGACAGAGGAGGACACTGAGATCCAGTGAGGCAAGATGGCCAGACAAGGTCCCCCAGCAGGAGGGAGAGCAAGAGCTCAGAGCATGTCCCCCTGCCAAGAACACTGCACCCCACACCCGAGATTCAGCTCAAATGCCACCTAGTCAGGGAGGCTTCCCTGGGCCCAGAAGGACGCCTTCTGTGCCTCTCTCAGCCAGCTCTTGTCACATCTGTAGGTGGACATGTGTTTGACTTATTTATTGTCTGACTTATGCCTATCTGTCCTGCTAGACCACGAGGACCATGAGGCCAAGGACACCACACCAGTCTGGACCCAGGGCACTGCTGCGATCCTGGGGCCAAGCACCGAGCCCAGCACACGGGAGGGGCTCAGACAGCATCTGCCTAACGGAAGCACAGACGGGGGCAAACACCACCCCACCACCTCTCTCTAGTCAGTAAGCGGGCCCCTGGGACCTGCGAAGCTAAAAGCCTTCTGCTTCGGGGAGGCAGGGCGGGCAGGTGGGGAATAGTACCTGAGCTGAGGATGGTGGGCCGGGCCTTGGGGGGCCGGGATCCCGTCAGGGAGTTGGTGCTGCTGCTGCCACTGCTGCTGGTCCCACCACCCTTACACGTCAGCTGCAGGGAGGAATCCTGGCCCGGGATGGAGATGGACTTAGCAGTGGACGGAGGCCTTAGGAGGACAGACAGCTTGTGACTGGGGTGCCCCATCCTTGGCATCAGATGAAGACAGGGGAGCCTGGAGTGAAGAGTCCCGTCCGCCCTCCCCCAGTGCCCAGGATGGAGCCCGCCCCTCAGACAGCCTGCACCAGCACTCACGTCTTGAAGCAGGGGTCTCCAGAGAGCAGGAACATTCCGATAGTGACCTGCATGAAGGGAGGAATCAGCCACACCCTGTCCATTCACCGGGCCCAGGCGCCCCACCTCCCTGCTCTGGCTTCAGATGGGCTTGGACTCTGGTCCCGACTCAGCCCCTTGCTGGCCCTGGTGAAGAGCCCCGTTTCCTCGTGCAGAAGACAGAACCAATCCTAACACGTGCCTCGGGGGACAGTGGAGCGGATGCAGTGAGATGAGGCTCCACCTGGTTGGCGCCTGGCGAGGAGTGAGTGAGCAGCAAAAGCTACCTGCTGTGACTTCACGACTACAGCTATTGGGGCGCCCTCTGTCTCAGGGCCCCGAGTGGGAGAGGGTGCAAGAGCTCCCCACGAAGGCAGGAGGGACGCCCTCAAAGCCCGCTCTGTGAGGAGGGGTCCACCGAGCCCGACATGGTTGGGAGCACTTGCATAGTTCACAACGGATGGCAGGCGCCTGGTGAAAGTTTGCTGAATTAAGTAAAGCAAGAAACCATTTGACATTTAACATCTACTTGGGCAAAGATTTTGGCAATGCCCCACACAAGGCAAGGTTTGGGTCCCCAAATCTGGGCTGAGATGGAGTGACAGGCAGAGGGTGATGGGGTAGGAAAGAAGTGCTCAGATCCCAGGACCCCACTGACAAAAATGGAGACCACTGATCTGAAACTGCCCCCGCCCCAGCATCCTTGATCTGGCCTGAGGGTGCAGGGGCCACTGGGGTGAGGCTGAAAGGCCTCAGGGCTCCCACCACAATTAGCCTGGAGCTTTTCCGGCACCCCCAGTTCCCTCTGCAAAGGGTCCAGGAGGACCCAGAGCCCCTGGCCACCACCTCCTGCCTGGGTCTGCCCCAGGCACGACACGCTCCCACTGGGTCAGCTCTCAGAAGTGTGGTTAGGGCAAGACTGTTTTCTCAGCCAGGTGGAAGCGGGTGGAAACAAGGAAGAGAGGGGCACTGGCAGCGGATGCTCAGATAGCTCTGTCCCAAGAGGCCAACAAGTCAGCTGCCTGGGGCGGGAGCTGCCCCGGCCCCCGGAAACCTGCATGTGGCTGGGCCCTCGGAGCAGCCACGCTCAGTCTGTCTAGGTCGAGAGACGCCAGGTTCTTCTGCTCACTGATGCTCCACTGGGTGCTCAGGCTGCCTTGTGTCACATGGTGCAACAGTTAGGAGCTGACTGTGGGGTCAAGTGCCAGGTCTGCTTGTGACCCCAGGCAAATGATCTAACCTCTGTGCCTCAATTCCCTCCTGTGCAAAACTGGGACAAATAACAGACACCACACCCATGGGGCTGTTGTCAGGCATCACAAGATAAGAGGAGGTAACACTCAGCAATGCTGATCTCACCGAAAGTGCTCACCAAACCCAGAGAGACTGTGCGTCTACTCTCCGACCCCTAATTATGGATGGGGAAACTGAGGCCACTGGCTAAGCCCAGGCCTCTATGGTGGTTTCCTGACCCAGGCCCGTATCTTCCCAGCGTCTCTCACCGCCTGTCCAGGGTGAGAACCCGTACCTTTAACAACCCTCCAGGGTACTCTAAGGAGGAATGGGTTTGCCCTCGCCCCTTGGCAGGAGCGGGAGGCAACAGGGCCCCAATACCTTGAGGATGGAGTTGTCCTGGCGAGTGTTCTTCGTGTCATATCCTTCCAGCAGGCAGCAGCGCACTGTAGAGCCTGAGCCCGCAAACTCGGCCAGGTTCAAGTCGGCAAAGCCCAGCTGGGAGGGATGGAGGAGAGTGTGGGAGGCTGCAGGCAGTGTGGGCACGGGGCTGGCAGCAAAAGGGTTAACTTGGCAGAGGCGGGAGGGGGAGGGGCAGGCAAAGCCCCTGGGGCCGACCCACAGCCCCACAGCCCAGACTGACTGTTGCATAACCAACACCCAAGGACAGAGGCCCCCCCCCAAGGACAGAGGCCTGGGTTGGCGGCTCCAATGGACGTGGCACAGCCAGGAGCTCACATCCCTGAGCAGCACAAAGCGCCCTTTGTGTCATGTCCCAGTGTGCACCGGGGCAGCGCCTGAGATGAAAGGACATTGTTGTCTGTGATACAGACACATTGTTCCCTGGGAAACAAGGCTGTGCTGTGGGAGCCTCCAGGCCAGTGGGCAGGGGGGAGGGAAGGCCCGTGGGAACTTGGTGTGGGGGTGGGTGGTTGGAGGGCACTCTGCATGGGGAGAAGGAGACCCTGGCCCAGGCTGGAGTGAGGGGCTGGTGGGCTACTCCTTGGATGCAGAGAGAGGAGCAAGGGATGGGGAGGGAAGCAGGAAAAAGTGTGAGAACAGGGTCTATGAGCTAAGAAGCCCTCTTAGATAGAAGCCAAGTCTGCCAGACCTGGAGGGGAAACAGGGTGAGGGGTGCTGGGATTAGCGACTTGGGGGACAACTAAACCAGCCAGGGACATTTATTGGGCACCTGCTGCATACAAGTCTCTACTGCAGAGTTTAGGGGCACATATGCCAGAATCAGGGACTCAGGTTCAGATCCCAGCCCTGCCATCAGCTCAGAGTGGCCCCCATTTTCAGAGAAGGAAACTAAGGTTCAGAGAGGGGAAGTGACTTGCCCAGGGCCCTATACTGCTCAACTGGCAGAGCCACGCTTGAAATTAGGTCTGAGGAGCGTCAAGTCTCACCACCTCTCTGGGCCTCAGTTTCCTCTTCTGTACAACGGGAGCTGAGCCCGTGCGGATGGCTCATGAGAGACCAGAAGGGCCTGGCAGGTCTGACGTGTGCTAGGTGTCCTAGAAATGTCTGCCGGGTGGAGGCGGGATGCTCTGGCTGTTTGCTGGCACTTTCTTTCCTGACTGGGCAGTTGTCCTCACCCACGTGAATCAATGGGAAGAGAAATTTCCACTCTGACGGCACCTTCCACAGCCCAGTTCTAGCCCCCCGCCCTCTGCTTCTGGAGAGGGACATCACGGCCCCTGGCCAGGGCAGAGCGCACAGCCCAGAATGCTGAGCTTCCTGAGCTCTGATCAGTGGGAAGGAACACGCCCCGTGCAGCACCTCCCTCGGGCCTTCCACGAAGGGTGAGGTGAGGCAAAGGCATTTCCCCTCTGGACTGACGGAGCACATCCCCTGCCACTGGGCCACCTCCCGGGGGTCACAGAGGGTGGGCCACGAGTCCCCACAGAGAAGGGGGTTTAGGGCAGAGCAGGTTTATTCAAAGCCAAAGGTAACCGTTCCAGAGCCGTCTTCTGCCACTTTTCCCAGTGGAAAAGGTTTCAATGCATAGGGCTGAACTGTCTGTGGGTGCAGGGAAAACCTGGCAACAAGAGAGATGTACAACAGCGGGGACTGGCTGAGTCACTGGTCACCCAGCCATACAATGGGACACTGCCACTGTTAGAAAGCAAAAGAAAATTTGTGATGACATGAAAACATGCCCATGACGTATTGGCAAGTAAAACACCAAGCTGCAGAATCTGTTTAGAACAAATCCCTTTTGTGTATTTAAAAATCCTGTTGTCTACAGGCACACAAGTTCAGAGATGGGGGCTCATTTGACATCTCTCTAAACCACAGGCATACGTTTTATTCATTGCTCCATGTGTAGCACAGATTTAATAATATGTATTTTTTTCTTAAAAGGTATGGAAAGACCCTAACGAATCCCAACAGTGGGATCTGGGGAGGAGGCCTGGGGAGGGTGAGGGATGGAAACTGTCCTTGCCACTCCATGAACCTGTGTACCACTTGTGCTGCAACAAGCATATGCTGCCTTTATGTTAAGTGCAAAATGCAAAGACTGTCAGTAAAGATATTTCCAAAAAATTATACATCTCACGTAGGGCTGAGTATCTCCTGCTTGGGGCAGAGAGGGGCCTGGATGTTCTTCTGGAAGCTTCTCTCATGCCTGTCCCACTGCCTCATCACACAGGCCCATCACACAGCCCCACTCACCTTGGAATAAGCCTTCCCGCCTTTCAGCTCCTGCACAGGGAGACAGACACAAGCAGCAGGGTGACTAGGGAATCCAAGGGCCGTCACGCGTCTCCCCAACTCCCCCGAAATCTGACTGCTGGGGAGGAGGACAGGAAAAGGCGCAGAGCAACTCATCCCATTTTCCCTGGGAGGATAAGTCAGGGGATGGGCCTAAAGCCACTAGACCAATGGCCCCACCCCCATTCCTTGGCCTTGGCCTTGCAGCCCCAGCCGGAAGGCAGCTCACCTTGCGCACCGACACACGGAAGATGCACGGGTCCAGCAGGCCGGTGGCTGGGTTGGCGCTCATCTTACACACGAAGGTGAACCTCTTCCGCCACCGCACGCAGTTCTCCTGTACCTCCTCCCTGTAGGCCCAAGGGGACAGGGAGCACAAGCAGGCAGGTCAATGCCCAGGGAACCTGGGGACCCTATATCAGGGACAGGGTCTGCCGTCAGGGATGGGGGAGCTCTCACTTTTCACTGTGTATCACCAAGTGACTCTATTGTCATAACAAGAGTGTGGTTGCATTAAGTGTTATAAAAACAAAAAAAAATGTAACAAAAATGAGAAAAGACAAGGCAGGGTAAGGTCAGGCTGCGGGCAGCTGCCCACTCCCTCTGCTGCCAGCACTGCCCCCCACCTCCTCCCCGTAGCTTTGGGTGGAGCCTTCCATTGCCATTACCTCCCACCAGCCAGGCTCCCACTGGCCATCTCAAGTGACCCTCAAAACAGTTTTCCCAGGCTGGACTACCAGCCCATTTTACAGATGAAGAGACTGAGGCTAGGTAAACTGCCCAGGATCACCCAGCCAGGAAACAGCTGGCCCTAAGCCCAGTGCGGCGTAGCTCCAGAGCTTCCTTCTTCACTACTATTAACAACAACGATAATAATAACAGCCAAAGCTCACACGGCACTTCCATGTGCCAGGCACCACTCAGAGCACTTTACAAAACCAGCCGTCCCGGGAGCCTGCTCCAAGTGCCAGAGATCTGTGATCACGCCAACCCTTCCAACACCCGCCTGGGGCAGCTATGATCATTAGCCCAATCCTACATTCAAAGAAACCAGGAGCTCTGGGCTAAGACCCTGGCTTGAGGCCCACCATGGGCAGAGGGGACAGGGGCCTGAACCCAAGCAGCCTGGCTCTGGGTGCCACACACTTAGCCCTCTCCACTCCAGGGCTGAGACACCAACCTGGGGCCCTCAGCTTCCCAGACACTAACTGGGGGGCTGGCCTTCCAGTCCCTTGAGTTCCTCCTGGGCCCGGGGAGCACGACCAAGCCCCAAAATTTAGCACCCCCTTCACAGGGCTGCAGTTTGCACCCTGGGAGTGAGTGGGAGCCCGCGGGAGGAGCTCATCCAAGCCTCTCCCAGCCGCTGTGGGGGCCTCAGCAGACCTGTGGGTGGCAGCAGCACGTGGCAGAGATGAGCGCTGCACCCCTGCACAGCTCCCTGTCCCCCCACAGCCTGCCTGGCAGAACCACGGCTCAGGAAGGGGCAGCCAAGGAAGGGAGGGGCCGGCATGAGAGACATCATCTCCAGCCGCATCCCACCTAACAGGAACGGCCAAGCAGACAGCTGAGGAAGTGACCCCTCCACACTCTGGGGACGAGGAGCTCAGGTTAACTGCCAGACTGGGGCCTGGGCGTGGAGAGTCAGCGCAGGCTGAGCCTCTCCTGAACGTGGCTCGTGTGCTTCTTCCGCAACCTTGGAGGGTAGGCTCCGCATCACTCCCTCCTACAGCTGCGGCCCTTAGGTTCCAGGAGATGCCCAAGGCCACATCCCCAGTGACTGACACAGCAGGATTTGAATTCAGGACTGTCCAAATGGAGAGTCAGAGCACTCAGCCATCACCTTAGTCCCAGGGCCACACAGCCTGGAAAAGCCTGGCAGGCAGAATCTACCGGGGTTGTGGGGCCAGCAGTGCCCTGCTGTGGACCTGAGGCGCCCACCCATGTCTCTGAGTGCCAAGTATGTGCCAGGCACTGGGTAGTGCCATGGAGTTGATTCACAGACCGACATTTGACAGTCACTCCAGTGATGACTCCATGTCACCAGGAGAAAGTGGGGGAAGGGGTGAGTCACCACAGGGAGTTGACACTCAAGCTCAGATCCGAATGAAGAGTGGGGAGTAGCCAGTTCCAGTGGGGAGACAGTTCCAGGCAGAAGGACAAGCAGGAGCAAGGAGCGAATGTACTCTCATTTACTCAGCCGATGAAAGCCCCCAGCTGAGCATCCACGCGGAGCTCCCTCCTGGCTCCACAGGGCTTTGAGGACATGACCATGGCTTCTCCCATGTCCTGCCAAGGCTGTGACAAGGGGCAAGAGGACTTGGGTCAGGCAGACCTGGGCTCACAGCCCCACACTCACTGTGCCACTCAGGGCGCCTGGGAGCATTCAGTGAGGTGAGCCGACCAAGGGACTGGCCTGGCCTGGGGAGATCCCATGAGACATGTCTCATCTGATGAAGACACTGGGGATCTAGAAGGACTCAGCCACCACAATGTTCCGAGCTTGTCAGGAGGCTGAGCTCCAGCAATGTCCCACAGCCCCAAGACTGGCGACAAACAGAAAAGGTCACGGCTAGAGACAAGGGGGAGGAGTCTCCAACCCCCGGCAGATATGGGCAAGGACCCTCAGGAAGCAGATGCCACAGCAGGAGTGGAAGCTCTGGGCTGGGGCATCAACCGACCCAGCCATGCCAGCTCTATTCATTCATTCACTCATTCATTCATAGAATTGAGCACCAGCTGTGTGCCAGTCCCTGTTCTATGCCCTGGGGCCACAGTAGTGACCAGCTTACATTCTGTACGACAAGAAAGATGAAGTTCAAACAAACGAGAAAAATACATAGTAGTGGAAAGGAAGAAATAAAACAATCTCTATTGACAAATGACTTGATCTTGTATATAGAAACTCCTAAGGAATCCACTTAACAACTATTAGAATACACAGGCTCAACAAGGTTGCAGGATACAAGATCAATACACAAAAATCAATTACTACTATACAGTCATGCATGGCATCACAACGTTTGGTCAATGACGAACCGCATACACGACGGTGGCCCCATAACATTAATACTGAACAGCCTAGGTGTGCAGGAGGCTGTACCACCTAGGTTTGCGTAAGTACACTCCGTGATGTTCACATAAAGATGAAATCACCTAACAATGCATCTCTCAGAATGCGTCCCCATCGTTAACAGGGGGACTGTACTCGTGAACACCCACAACGAAATGAAGAAACTATTCCATTTACATTACTGTCAAAAAGAATAAAATATGTAGGAATAAAGTTGTTTTTTTTTTTTGGAGGAAGATTACCCCTGAGCTAACTACTGCCAATCCTCCTCTTTTTGCTGGGGAAGACTGGCCCTGAGCTAACATCCATGCCCATCTTCCTCTGCTTTATACATGGGATGCCTGCCACAGCATGGCTTTTGCCAAGCGGTGCCATGTCCGCACCCAGGATCCGAACCGGCGAACCCTGGGCCCCGAGAAGCGGAACGTGCAAACTTAACTGCTCCGCCACCTGGCCGGCCCCTGTAGGAATAAATTTAACAAAAGAAGTACAAAACATATGTTCTGGAAAACTACAGAACATTGTTGAAAGAAATTCAAGAAGATCTAAAGCAATGGAAAGACAGCCCATGGTCATGGATTGAAAGACTTAATATTGTTAAAATGACAATACTCTCAAATTGATCTAAAAATTCAACACAATCCCTATCAAAATCTCAGCTAGTTTCCTCACAAAAATTTGACAAGTTGATCCTAAACCTCGGAAACTCAAGGGGCCAGAACAGTCAAAACAATCTAGAAAAAGTAGAACATAATTAAAGGATTCACATGTCTCGATCGCAAAACTTCTACAAAGCCACAATAATCAAGAAAGTGTGGTTCTGGCATCAGGACAGACACACAGATCAGTGGTATAGAATTGAAAACCTGAAATAAACCTTTACATTTATGGTCAACTGATTTTCAACAAGGGTGCCAGTGGGGAAAGAAGAGTCTTTTTGACAAAAGTTGCTGGGATGACTAGATATTCACATGCAAAAGAATGAAGTAGGACCCATTTCTGATATCATATACAATAACTTAAAATGGATCAAAGACATAAGTTAAAGAGCTCAGACTATAAAATTCTTAGAAGAAAACAGAAGGTAACTCTTCATCATCTGGGACTAGGCAACCGGTTCATAGACACGGGACACTGGAAGTACAAACGCCAAAAGAACAACATAACTATACCGAACATCACCAAAACCAGAATTTTTTGTGATTCAGGGGCTGGCCCCGTGGCCGAGTGGTTAAGTTCGCGTGCTCCGCTGCAGGCGGCCCAGTGTTTCGTTGGTTCGAATCCTGGGTGTGGACATGGCACTGCTCATCAAACCACGCTGAGGCAGCGTCCCGCATGCCACAACTAGAAGAATCCACAACGAAGAATATACAACTATGTACCGGGGGGCTTTGGGGAGAAAAAGGAAAAAATAAAATCTTAAAAAAACAAAAAATTTTTTTGTGATTCAGAGAACACACTCAAGAAAGTGAAAAGACAACCCACCGAACGAAGGAAAATATTTGCAAATCATATATAAGGAACTTGTAGTGATACTATATAAAGAGCACTTACAACTCAATAACAACACAATTAAAGAAGGGGTAAATGATCTTGAACAGACATTTCTCTAAAGAAAATATACGAATGGCCAATAAGCACATGAGAAGATGCTCAACATCATTAGCTATCAGGGAGACACATATCAAAACTATAATTCACACCCACGAGGATAGCTATAATCAAGACAGATAATAACAAGTGTTGGTGAGGATGGAGAGAAATTGGAACCCTCATGCACGGCTGGTAGGAATGTAAAACGGTGCGGCCGCTTTGGAAAACAGTCTAGCACTTCCTCAAAAGGTTAAACATAGAGCTACAGTATGACTCAGCAATTCTACTCCCAGGTATACATCTAAGAGAAATCAAACACAGGTCCACACAAAAACCTGTAGGCCAACGTACACAGCAGCATTATTCATAATAGCCAAAAAAGTGAAAGCAACTCAAATGTCCATCTACTGATGAATGGATACATAAAACGTGGTATATCCATACAATGCAATATTATTCGGCAATCCAAGAAAGTAAGCACTTACTGTATACAAGCTATGATGTGAATTTACTTTGAAAATACCATGCTAAGTGAAAGAAGCTAGGCACAAAGAACTACATGTTGTATGATTCCACGTATATGAAATGTCCAACACAGCCAAATCTGTAAGAGACAGAAAGACTGGTGATTGCCAGGGGATGGGGGAGTTGGGAGAAAATGGGGAATGACTTGCTAATGGGTATGGA